ATTTAAGATATATTTAAAAGTGTCAGTATTTCCGGAATACTTTCAAAAATTAAATTGAAAATATCGTAGTAACAATACGCATGTTTAAAGTTTTGACCCCCCTTGTTAAAGGGGTATGATCCGATTTACAAAAAAAGCGTGCCAGATGAAAGGGGTATATCAATATTTATTATAAAAAAATAATAATATAGATCCATACATTTTTCCAAAAGTTATATAAAATATAAATTAAATAATATAACATATAAAATCGAGATTTTTTTCACGGAAATCGTACGTTTTTCTTTAACTTTGATGTCCGTTTTCACCACGAAGACAAGTCCAGAGGTCAAATTTTTTTTTTTCAAATTAAAGTATATTACATAAGCTTTAATTTAAGATATATATAAAAGTGTCAGTCTTTCCGGAACATTTTCAAAAGTTAAGTTGAAAAAGTTCTACTTTCTATACGCATTTTAAAAGGTTTGCACCCCCCCTGTATAAAGGGAAATGGTCCGATTTTAAAAAAAAGTATGTCGAATGAAAGAAGTATATATAAAGTATTTATCATTAAAGAATAAAGTTGATTCATGCATTTTTTAAAAAGTTATAGCAACATAATGTTAAAAAATGTAAAATATAATATCAAGAATTTTTTCACAAAAATAGCATATTTTTGCATACGGTAGTCATTTTCACCATGAAGACAAGTCCAGAGGTCAAATTTTTTTTTTTCAAATTAAAGTATATTACATTAGCTTTAATTTAAGGTATATATAAAATTGTCAGTCTTTCCGGAACATTTTCAAAAGTTAAGTTGAAAAAGTTAATTTTTTGTAAAAAAGTTACCATTTTGAAACCCCATCCTTTGGGCTGTTAAAAGGTCAAATGTTCACAAAAATATATAAAATGATAGGTAATTATCTAAGGTATCTATAAAAAAAAAAATTATATTGATTCGGTCATTAAAAAAAAACACATCATAGTAAAATTAATACCTTCTCAGCTTCGCATCGAAGCTAAAAATCTGTTTCAATGTCATATCTTTCAAACATTTTTTTTGACTCAATTGAAATAAAATCACAAACGTATAGTAGTAGGAGTAAATGAAATTTATGATTTTAAAAATAAAAGTATAGATGATTTTTTTTCTGGTGTGTTTTTTTTTAATTAAAATTAAAAAAATTGTAGGTTTTGAATAGTAAATAATAGAAAAAATGTCGAATTAAAAATGTATAAAAAATTAAATTTCAAACAACGGTTAAATGAATTTTTTTGTTTTTACAATGAACGATTTATAAATTAACAATTTTGACGGTAAGAATAGAACATATACGTTTTTATTTTTTTAGGACTAAATAAGAAATTTTCAAAAATTTTTGTATACATACTTTTTATAGAAAAATTGTATACCTACAAAAAAGTCCCAATAAACATTTTCGCAAAAGCTAAAGTTTTTGAGATCGGTGCGGCATTGATTGCAATGTATTTTATTTTATGAGAAAATAAGTAATTCTTTTTGCTCAGCATGATTTTTTTTAATTGGAGATTGTTGATATGTCTGTAGGAAAATTATCTTATATACTTGAATTTCTATGGCATTACGCATATTCTGTCATGAAATAAAGTATAAAGTATAATTCTCATACTAGTGTTTCACAATTCCAAAGTGAAAAAAATTTTAAGTTGAGCACACGAAAAAAAGGTTTTTACAAAATAATAGTAAAAAATAATTGAAGTACTGGTTGTAACAAATAAGTTCAATTGTAATAATTTAATACAGGGGAGTCTATTTTTGGTAAGATACATGATAAATTTTATTATATTTTGTTATTATAGAGGATTGNATATATGATAAATTTTATTATTATAGAGGATTGGAGGGATTTGTATTTTTTACACTCTTTAGAAAATATAAATAGATTATAAGTTTTAAATTATTATTTAGTTTAGTTTTAACTTCAGTAACATAAAAGAACTCATAAAGGTTTGTAATTAATAATTTCATATCCATTTATATCATCCATATTATGGAGTAATGCCAAGATGAAAAAAAAAATGAGTGATGATTTATGTAAAATATTAATAATTTATGAGAAATAAAGTAAAATATATGTTGTAAATAAAAAAAGTTTTACTCCTAATTTGATCTTATTGATAAGTCATTAATAATTTTTTTGTTTTATAGATATTTTTTATATTTTAATAACACCTGTACAGTTCTTTAGCAAATATTAGTAGCTAAAAAGCATGTAAATATATAGTTTTTTCTATAACCTGATCGATTTCCTTATTTTTAAGATAACTAAAAGTATTATAGAAAAAAAATCTTTTTTTTTCTGAAACAAATAATCTTAAAGTTTTAAATGTATTTTTCTGGTACACTCAATATAATTATTTGTTCAGCTAAAACTTATTTTATAGTTCAAATATGACATATATTTTTTTTAACTATGAAAACTTAATCATTAACCTCTGGGTATAGAAAGCAGGTCGAGTATGTGTTATAAAAAATTTTTTTTTTATTAGTGATAAATACAAAAAATATACTTTAAGCATAGTCTAAAAGGGCAATAATCTTATTATATAATAGAACAAGGTTTTTATTTATAAAATAATAATTATATCAAAAGTTTTAAACATTGTTAATTTGGTTCAAGTTGTCTGTATGTATTTTGTACACAAGAGGTAAACTATTCTAGTTTTTCAAACAAACAAAAAAAAAAGTTATAGCAATTATAAGTAAAAAAATTGAAAAAATGTCGAAAATTAGCGATTTTTAAATTTGTAATTTTTTGAGGGATTTCCCTCGTTTACGGAAAACGAGAGAATTTTTTTCAAATTTTTAGGGTAATGTCTTTAACTAAATATGATTTGTAATATTTTGACATAATCGGTCCAGTGACAGCTAAGAAAATATAGTGACAGACACAAAAAAGAAAATGAAATAAAAACATCATGATAAAATTAATACCTTTTCAGCTTCGCATCGAAGTTAAAATTGGTTGTTATGACTAAATAAAATATTCATTATACCAGTATAATAACTGCATCGGTTACTTTATCTATTAAATTTACAATTTGATCCAAAAGTATTTTAGTTAACTAATCATAAGAGGAAAGCTCTAATAAATTATTACCCTTTGCCATAAGTAAAATTTTTTAGATTTAAAATAGTCGCAATGTAGTATATTATAAACAATTTATAATTTGTATTTTTTTTACACTAGCGTTTGCTAATATTATAAATATTTCTATTTAGTTAATTTATTTTCTTTAGAAGTGTTTTTTTTTTTTAGTTTAATTGTATTATTATTACTTTAATATTTTTGCGTAAAAAATTATATTTAATTGATTCATTATTAAGCGTATTTTATTTTTTATCTTGTATAGCATTAATAACTAAAAATTGTATAACTCTGAAAGAATTACAAAAATTTACATTAAACATCTTATGTTCAATTTGCATAATATTTTGAAAACTAGTACATTTTAATTTAGCCAGTATACTAAGCATCACTAATATAAGAAAGTTATTATCAAATAAATTAAATCAACACTTTGTTAGTCACCATGTAGTAGGTATTTTATATTAGAAATTTGAAAAAAAATTTAATTTTTCATAAATACAAATTTTATAAAAATATTTTTTTTCAATTTGTTTCTTTCTTATTTTAAAAACTATCAATTTGGGTATCTTAAATAGAAAAATATGACTGGATATTATATTTAAATTTTTTATATTTTAATATTGTGTTTTCATCAAAAATAATTAACAACTAATAATTTATTGATTTTATTGTATTTATACATGTATATTAACCAGCCTATTTAATTGAAAATGGGAACCTAAGATATGCATGTTATGAGGGATATTAGATTAACTCGGGTGAATACAATTTTTAGGATCAAATAGATGACTGCCAAAGAGTTTAAATATAATAAGTACAATACTTTAATTCTGAATATATTTTTTTTAAGATTGAATTTTATACTAACAATTTTAAACCTATAATAATTTAAAATACAAAAATTAGTTTTTTCTGTGAAAACAAAACTTCTTCAACCATACATTTTCTGGTATTGTGGAGATATTTTTAAAAATTATTTGAATAGAAAGAGATGTTGAATTTGAATTCACTACTTAAAGTTTTTGACAAAACACTGTGTTATATTATCTTATATCAATTCATTTATATTAAGGTTGGGCTTGCAATGTGGAATTTGAAAGCTATTAAATTGTATAATATCCTTAATATTTAAAGTTTCTGAACAATATTCCAAAGTAACTCTAATTAATTGTTCAGATTATATTAAAACCTGAAACAATTTAAAATAGTTAGTTGTATTTAATTGTTATTGATTATCTTAAAACAAAACAATGTATTTTTTTTTTTTTGTAATAATGCATTCTTAAACAACTCGGGAAAACTAGTCTTAAACATTAACCGTAATTTAATGTCTAGAAAGAGATACATAATGTTCAAAACTAAGTTAGAAATATTATTACAATAACTGATAAAAGCACTTTTGCTTTTTAGAGTTCAAAACTGTTCATAAATGGTTTATGTTGAAAAAATAACCTTCAATTTTGAATAAACATTAATATTTGAGAAATGTTTTTATTTAATTAAATCATTTAATAATATACAACAACTTTTAAAGTTTTAACTATAATGTGATCTGATTGTTTAAAAAAAAAAATGTCTTAATCAATTCAATGAAACTTAAGAAGAAAGAAGATGATTTATTTTTATTTATTAAATATTGTCTTCAACAGCGGTGAATCCAAAAATGTAAATATATTTATTATAGTATTATATATTTATTAATAGTATTTTTTATTATATATTTATTAATAGTATTATTAAAATCTTTGCTTTATGAGGTCAAATTGAATTATGACTAATTTTTAGATTTTAATAAATAATTAAAATTAATTAAGGGGTAGGCCTATCAAAAAACAAAATATTCCAAATGACACGGCACCGCCTTTTGCTCTAGGCTGGCGCTCACCCGTGTCTCTCTCGATATCAGCCGTCCAGCCATTAATATGACAATCGGTTGTCATCGGTCGTCTCCCCGCCCTTGACACTGAGATAAGGCCACCGCCGAATATGGATTACCGATATTGCTTTCTGTTCCGTTTTCGACGTACACCTCAACTGGTGAGTTATTTTTGGTGTTGTTCCGTTTCCGACGTATAACTTTACTGGTCGATTATTTTTTGGTTCTGATTTGCATACACTTTTGTGACTTTTGTTTTGTTAATTTGTGTTGTCTGACGAATTGCAGTGTACATATATATACATATATATTTATATATAAATACTTATCACTGGTCTAAACTTACATTGATACTTTCTTATAACTAACTATTGTGTCTTAGCATTATATACACATAGTTAAGTATCTAATACCCTATAACTAATATACATTTATATCTGCGGGATTGCGTTACGCGCCACTCGGTCGTCCGTACCTTTTCTCTGGATTACGCGATAATATTATTTGGCAATTAGATGTATCAATTTTTATATATGAAAATTTGACCTGCAGTTTAAAAAAAAAATGATTATATCAAATAAATATAAATTTATTTTGTAGTTAATTCTACTTACCCGGTATATAACTTTAGTACAATTTTATCATCTAAAAAGGTTAAATTATTATTTAATAATTGTTACGACGTAAAAATAAAACATTTACTAAAATGTTACATTAAAACACTGTAACTACACGATAGTTAAACAACTTAATAATGGATAAAAATATTTAACTATATGGGATAGTAGTACCAACGTAGAATTAGCGTTAAACCCGATGTGGTTTAAAAGGTTATGTTAAAACTTAACATAACATCAATCAACATTAGTAAAAATTATTTTTGTTGGTCATATCACACGATAACATTATCGTATTATAGAATTGTATCGAGTCTTTACACTATGATGAAGAGAGGCTAGGAAATTAACTTATCAGTATTAAAGCTTGCTATACAAATCAATGGACTTTGCTATTACAGTTAAGACCATAGAGTAATACTATGATTAAGACCCGATTTGAATCTATTATTATTATCACTCAATTAGTGTGTCGTAAATTATTATTGCTATCTTACTTGTCATATCTTGGTCAATAACAATTAGTGTATATTACACTATAGAAAAATAGTGACTTCTGTATTGAAAACATTAAAACAACAATAGAAATTTAGTCCAAAATTATTTAACTTTAACAAGCTGTAACAGACGAACGGTTGATCGGAAAAAAAAATTGTAAGAGCAAAGTTGTTTGTATTTTTATGTTCAATCATAATAACAAATTCAAAATAGGGGTTCCCATTTAAGAAAATGCAAATTAATGTTTTTTAACCTTGAAGGGATCAAAAAAATTATGTTTTTACTACATATTATTGTAGAGTTTTTTGAAACAAAAATTATTTTCCTTACCAAAAATCAAAAATTTTCAATAGTTACCGAGAAAATGAGTGTCTTATCCTTAATGAATCACCCTGTATATATATATGAATGTATAACGGTATATTGGTGAGTATAGGTTTGTATTTGTGCGAGATGCGTTGCGTGTAGCTAACCACACGAACAAATCAACTTTAGTTGCACACACAACTTTTACCACCGAAAAACGACACAAAAGATAAAATGTAAATATTCACAATAAAACGCAACGAACCAGTTATGTGTACGTCGGAAAACAGCACAGCAGAAAAAAAAAGAAACAACACACAAGTTGAGGTGTACGTCGAAAACGGAACAGAACGCAATATCCGTAATCCATATTCGGGGGTGGCCTTATCTCAGTGTCAAGGGCGAGGAGACAACCAATGACAACCGATTGTCATATTAATAGCTGGACGGCTGATATCGAGAGACACGGGCGAGCGCCAGCCTAGAGCAAAAGGCGGTGCCGTGTCATGATATAATTATTGTCACTTATTACACAAAAGTGATTCATATGGTAAAAGAAATAGTACATGAAACTTAAATAAAATATTTGTACACACTAATTCAAATATTGTCAATATTATATAAACGATACAGAGTAAAAATGCGGAGTTTACTTATAAAACTGGACGTGTTCGTTCCGGAGTACGATCGAAACAGGCCGTGTCAGACGAGTCCTTTGGTGTCCTTCCAAAGTCCCCTTCCAGACACGTACATGACCATCGGCCTTACATTTATTTAGATTCTTTGTTGCTATTTTGCTGACATTGTAGAAGGATTTTGTAAAACTACGGGGTTGTACATGTTGGGAAGGAACGGATGTGTGTGCATGGCGTGATTGTGTGAGTTGTGTGTGTATCTGCAGTCAGTGATAGAAAGTGTTGATTGTGTTTTGTAATTTATTGGTGTGTGGGTAGAAGATGAAAGAATAACAGAAAAACATTTTGTTCGGTTGTGTGAAGGGCCTATTACAACAATTCTCATATATTTGTTTTATTATATTTATAAATTCATAAAATGTATTTAGTCTTTGTTTTTTCCTTTTTAACCTATCGACTCTCTTCCACAACATTTCAGAGTACTCGTGTCTTGCACTTCGTCTGCACCTTTTACGCCTTAACATTATTTTGTACTATAGCACTAAATATACAAATTATACTACGTAAAATTTCTTTTTTAGAATTTAAAATGTCGATGTTTCCTAACCCATCAAAAAGAGACATCATGATAGCTATGCACATGAATTTAAACAATTAAATAAAAAAGAAAATCTGATCAATGCAATCTCCTCGATTAATAATAGTATATGATGTATTAAAAAGCTCTGAGTAATTGTATGAAAATCAAAATGCTTAACATTTGATTCACATGAATAATTTTTTTTTATTTTTAACTAGAAATAAAAAATTTGGTTGAGAACATTTAGAATGAATCTAATGGACTTAAAATTGGACAATAACTTGCTATTTTCTTAAGTGGTAAGACTTAGAATGGTAACCAAAATGTATACATTTTTTTTAAAATTAGTTCAATGGAATAAATAAATTACTTAAAGCAATATTAAAATACAATTGAAAATAAATTTTATCTTGTAGGCATATTACTTCTTACAGTAATGATGATAATAATATACGGTGGATTACTTAATCCTGTCAGTAACAAATTGTGTATAAGTAACAGTGTGCAATTCTGTTGTGGCTGGACTATGTAGGTTTCCTTGTGTTCTCTTATACAACCATAGCTTATAAGTGGATGTGAAACACTAATAATTATGATTAAAAATAATATAAATTGTTAGTATTTATTACATTAAAAATAATATAATTCTTTTTTCATTGTATTATAGACAGTTTTTAACATTATTTTAAATACCTTTANATACTTAAATAGCAAAGTTAAAAAATCAAAATGCAGCTATTGATGGAAATGATTAAATTTCTAAAAACTAAAACCCAACTACCCACATAGCAATGAAATATTTCTAGAATATTCCTAGAATATTTATTTCTGATATTAAAATATTTCTAGAATATAACCAGAATATATTGAAATATTCTCACAATGTTTTCAGAATATACTTTGGCAGCGAATATTACATTCTCACAATATCTTAAAGGTATATTTCTAAAATATTATAAAAAATATATTGTGACAATATTTTTAAAATGTTTTATAAATATATTAAAAAAATGCAAAAGATTAGAGACATCACTACGCGGGATTCGATCCCTGTACCTCAAGCGCATTGCACTCGTTTGTTACCTATTGACCCACAGGTTGCTTCGATTGTAACAGGATATNTTTTTTACTGTCCCTGACTTACTTAGCTTAATTGAATTAAGTTAATTAAAATTGATACTAATAAGAGAAAATGGCTGTTTACTTATTAAGGATTTAGGAATATGTATATATAATACATAAGTATTATATAACAAGATACCAATAACATCCAAAGATGTAACTAAAGGGAGAAAAGAGGATGGCTTGTGTCTCTTAAGTTACCTCAGTTGGCCAACAAGATATATATTTATAATATTTTGTATTGATAACATATTCAACAAATATTTCAAGTTAAACATTCTATATTTATTTTAATTAATATATTTTCATAATATTTATAAGCAAATATTTAAAAAGATATTTTTTAAGCACATTGTAGAAATATTTTCTGTGTAATATACTGTATTTATTCTCTTTAATATATTTTCAAAATATACATAAACAAATATTTAAAAAATTATATTGTGAGCATATTATGGAAATATTTCAATAGAATATATTTTTTATTGTATTTATGAGATATTGTTACAATATTTTATTCAAAATATTTTAAAAATTATTTTGTAAGAATATTTTGACAATATTAATATATTGAAATTGCTATGTGGGAACATATTATCTTGAATAATTTTAATTTTATGGAACATTGTTTCTCATTAAATTAAGTAGAAATAAATATTAAACACTTATTTAATTGTTTAATATTATTTTTAGATGTCCCTTTATCAATAGTTCTGATTGTGAATTTTACAACCAATCAAATACTAATCAAAATCAACAGGCTTGTTGTTTTGTTAATGAAGATGTTTCACTAAAACTCATGGATGATCTTCCAATGTCTTAAAAACTTAGCTAAAAACCCTTCGAAGTACTATTATTAATGTAGTAGAAGATAATTATTATTTTATTCTAATAAAGTAGGTTGAATATCTCTCAGTCCATCCTTATTTGTAAAAATAGTTTAGAAGATTAAACCTTTATTATAAAAGAAGTTGTCAATAAGTTCTTCTGATATTTTGAATTTTTAGTATAACAGTATATTATTTTATGAAAATACTTACTATGGCCGACCCAGTCAAATTTATATGTGGTAAAACATGTTTAACTACTAAAAATAGAATGTTTTACTTACTGAGCCTTGGAAATGTCATTCTTTTGAAAACTGCGGAAAACATATCCCTAAAAGAAAACTGTTCGTCATATATCATGAGGAATAGATTTAGACTTTCATATCATTCTGAACGACTAAATATCAAAGCTTAGTGTTTAATTGCAAATTAGTGATTTCACTGATTGCATGCATTAAAATTATATCTTTTCAATTTTTTCTAAATTTCAGCAATGAGTAAACGAATTTATTTATTTATTTATAAATTTAACATAATATTTTCATTCGACTTAAACGCTAGTATTATATTCTTCCTATATTCATTAATACAAGTTTCAAAAAAAATATTTCATTATTTTTCTGAATGTTTTCCCAAGAATAAGAATTAGTTTTATCTACATAATAATTTTATTTTGAGATATAAATATAATATATACAATATATATATAAAAAAATTTTCACTGTGTTCTCGAGACGATAATTCTTCAAACGTATCTAAAGGTATTTTTTCTTAAAGATATTTTTCCGTTTAGCTATATGAGTCAGAATATGTTTTGTTCAAACCTAAGTTGTGCCTAATTCCTTTCAATATTAATTTTAGAAAAGAAAAGATATTTTAGCCAATAGTTAAACTCTTAGTAAAAAGAGGCGTTTTGGATATATAATATTTTTCTTTAAAAAAATTCTACAAAAATATTAAATAAATTTCAATTGTCTGCAAACATTTTTGAAAAATTATTATGTATCCTCAAATAATGGAAATTTAAAATAAATCCCTNATTGTCTACAAACATTTTTGAAAAATTATTATGTAGCCTCAAATAATTGAAATTTAAAATAAATCCCATTCAGAGGTGTTACCCTAATTTTAAACAATTTTAAATTAAAAATACATATTGAGTAATACATATTTCTCCGGGAACCAAAGTATACCAATATGAAATGTATTCAAATTATTTAGGATAAAAATGTTATTTTTTATTGATTAATGCATTCTGTGAAAGTTGTGCATGAACCAAAAGATATAAATTCATAAGTTAAAGAACTATCAACAGTGATGAGGTCATATTTACAAATTACATTGTTATAATCTGTTTCTTTATTATATACCCAATCATTTTGACTATTAATTATTTGTAAGTGTAGGCCCAAGGATTTTTAGAAGAGGTTCTCTTTTTGTCTGAAAAAAGATTATATTTATTTAAAGTACTTAAATCCGAAAAATTGAAGTTAACTTCTTTAATGAGTATTAAAAAAATTAAATGATGCCAATAATTATTTTTAGGGAATCGAAATTGTTTGCGAGTATCAACCTTTTTAGTTATACTTTTCTAATAAGACCGTTTTCCCATCCTATGTGGCCATCGTCGGATGGTATGTTTGGTCTAAATATTGCATTATACCATTTTCGCATATCATATTCTACATCATATTGTTCATTGTCAGCTATTTTAAATGAGAGAAAGGTATAGGTTTATTTTAGAATAATTTTTCACATCGCTGCGCCAAACGAAAATCTATTGATGTGGTAATTATATCCAACTGTTTTTCTATAGTTTTCCCTAACTTCACACTTCGAGCACAATTTTTCTGTGGTACACTCCTATGAGATTTTTTTTGTGAAATAATTTTTTTATTGAGAATATTCTATGACTACTTAGGTTTGTGATTTGATCTGATTGTTTGGGATCAAAGTATGTGTTATGCAGCAAGTTTCACTGTTTCTAGTAAATTAAATGTAAAACTAAAATAATAACCACCCCTATGGATACATGTTATGTCCATTAGGTACGATGGATTTAAAAATGTTTATTGAATATTATTTAAATTGATTTTTGCACACTAGGATGGTGGTACCCAAAATATATTTTCAACAATATTAAATGGTTTTTTTTCTAATTATTTTCTACTTGTTTGATATAAAAGTATTGTGAATTTTACTTTATTTTTTATCCTCAGCAATAATGAATAGATATGAATAAATGAGTTACTAGGAATTGTTTCTATGGTACCAAAAACATATGTTCTACAAAATTCAATAGTTTATATATTTTCTTCATTTTTAAAATTGAGTATTTTTGTAAATTTTATTGTATTACTTTTTTTTTTTTCTAATACATAATAAATACGTAAAATGTAATGTTTTCACATTAATACCAAGCACCCTTTCACATGTTAGAGAATCAAAGATGGTTCTTGGCTAGGCCAATGAATAATCGGAATGGTTTTATGGCCAGTTTGCATCATAAAACACACACACCACTAATGAAAAAATCACAAGAATAATTTTGTTTCTTGGAATTAAACCCTAGACGTATCTGACCCATTTAAAGAGTACAGGTTAGTTAATATTCAATATTATAATTACTTGTATATAATTTTTGTAATTTTAAAAAACAAAACTGTGTAATTGGTTTATAGTTAAATATATTTATATTTATGAATTTTATTTTAAAGCTGATAAATGGTTATTCGTAATTTTTTATATAATTTTTTGTACAGAGAATCTGTATATTAAATGTATAGAATTTTTGCACATAAAACTACATATAAATAAATTGTGTGCAATATAAATAAACTTTATAATCACAGATAACGGACTAATTTTTTAAGTAATCTGTAATGGTTTAATTGTCTCATACAAAATTTTTAAAATGGTATCAATTATTTTAGATGCTAATTAATTATATAGTAGATAATCAATTTCAAAATAGAATTTATAATTTAATGGCTGTAAAGAATATTAATTTTTTATCTTTTAATTGATGGATTACAAACATAAAACTTATATTGAATAACTGATCGGGAAAAAAAAATTACCCTACGTGGTTAGTCAGAAAAACAGTAAAAAACTGTATTTTGTTTATCCTTTATATTTTATTACTTTGTAAACAACATCGATAAAAAAATACACAGAAACAGTTAAAGTTTGAGAACATTAGTTGTAAAAATGCTGTCTTTACTATAAAATATAAATAATTTTTAAATAATACCTACTGGCTAATTGTTAATTTAATAGATGTTAAATTTACCATGGAAACAAATACACATAGACATTTTCTTAGTAAATTAGCTATTCAATACTTAATGATAAACTGTAGTTTCTATCCTTATGTTTATTATAATGATAAGTATTAATTAAATTTGTACTTGTATTATTTATATTCTAAACAATAATTGTATTTACAATTAATCAATGTGTTTTGGGAAAACAATTTTAAACTTTGTACGGTGATGTAATTTTTTTCTGAAATCAAATACAATTTTCAATAATAAAATGCAGTATGATGAACATTACTTCCTGTTTAGTTTTCAGACTGGTCGCAGTCGTAAGTACATTTATTAAAATATTTTTTTTAAATATCTTAAATTTCAATAAATTACCAACAATATAGATTTTTATCAAGGTATTTTTACTTTTTAATAATTAAACATTCAGAAGAAATGGGGTCATTAAACAAATAACATTTTATTTAAGTAATATTACATTAGTTAAATTTGTTTGAAACCATAAGTAGATATTTACTTTTAGCTTAAATAATTTATTAATTAAGTTTTGTTTCATTTTATTTTATTTGTTAAACTCACTAATTTTTGTTCTATAATTTATTTCGCATATTAGTAGCGCTTACCAAACAATAATATTTTACAAGGAGGATCAAACATAATGTAATAAATCAATTAATCAATGGTAATGATTAAATTGTATTAAATTATGTATATATTCATTGAGGTGCAATTAAAGTTTTCATTTTAGTAATATTTAAATAAAAAAGTTTAGACATTGCAAAATTATTAGGAAAAGGGTGATTAATTTTTGTGACATTATCCAAATCTGATACATACCTAATATTATAACATGAATTTTTTTATAACATAATTGGCCCTTTCTGTAATGGCTTACATTTTTTCTTCCGAAATAAAAATGTTTTATAAAATTGATAAAAAAATCTTGAGAGTCAACTTTTGCCTTTTCTTAGATACATATATTTCTTTAATTGTATGAATTTTTAGCTTCGATGTGAAGCTGAGAAGGTATTGGTTTTACTACGATGTGTTTTTTGTCTGTTACCACTTTTTCTCAGCTCTCACCAAACGGATTTCTTTTAACGATACGTCAAAAGATCACAAATCGTATCTAGTCGAAGACATTACCCTCAAAAATTGAAAACATTTCCCTCGTTCCCCGTAAATGGGGGAAACCTTCAAAAAAATTACAAATTTTAAAATCGCTAATTTTCGAAATTTTTTCAATTTCTTTTACTAAAAACTGCTATAACTTTTTTAAAAACGAACATATCAATATTATTTTTTTTTATAGATGCTTGATGTCTTTACCTATCATTTAGTATATTTTTTTCATAAATATAACCATTTACCTGCCCACAGGGGGGATTTAAAATAACAACTTTTTCACAAAAAATTAACTTTTTCAACTTAACTTTTGAAAATGTTCCGGAAGGTCTGACACTTTTATATATATCTTAAATTAAAGCTAATGTAATATACTTTAATTTGAAAAAGAAAATTTGACCTCTGGACTTGTCTTCACGGCAAAAATGGCTACCGAATGCTATTTTCGTGTGAAAATTTTCAATTTTGTATTTTAAATTTTTAACATTAAAATGCTATAACTTTTTGAAAAATGTATGGATCAACACAATTTTTTCATGAGAAGTAGTATTTATGTACATCTTTCATTCGACATACTTTTTTTTTAAATCGGACTATTTCCCTATATACAAGGGGGGTTTAAAACTTAAAAATGCATGTAGAAAGTAGAACTTTTTCAACTTAACTTTTGAAAGTGTTTTGGAAAGTCTGACACTTTTATATATATCTTAAATTAAAGCTAATGTAATGTACTTCATTATGCAAAAAAAAAATTTCGGACTTTATTTTGTCTTCACGGTGAAAATGGCTACCGAATGCTATTATTGTGTGAAAATTCTCGATTTCATTTTTTACATTTTTAACATTATAATTCTATAACTTATTGAAAAGTGTATGGATCAACACGATTTGTTTATGAGAAATAATATTTTTTAATTATCCCTCTTTCATTCAGCACAGGGCCGTCCTTACAATTTGCGAGGCCCGGGGCAAAAATGAACATTTTTTTTTTTTGCTCATCAATAGCCAGAGTACCAGGCTAGTACCTAGGGCCAAATAATTTTATATCAACAAAACATAGATAACAACACTTCATTTTTATCATTATTATAAATAAAAATACAACAAAAATGTTTTTATACAAATTTTAAAAACTTATAAAGAAAAAAATTAAACAACTATTTATTGTGAATTTTAAATTGTAAAATTATTTATGACCCCTTTGTAATAAAATTCAAGAGTACCCACAGTGGCTTTTTAATATTAGTCAAAAATTTGCTTTAATTTAATAATATTAAAAGAATATAAAACAATGTCTTATTTAAACTGACCTTCGTTAAAACAATTTAAATTACATAAAATCAATTTTTCTGGCTTTTATTTCGGCAAACTTTTCAATAATATCGTTATAATCTAAATTTTCACACAGATCACGTTCGATTGAAATAATTGCTAGATCAGAAAGACGATTTTGTGTCATAGATGTCCTTAAATAATTTTTTATGATTTTTAACTTGGAGAAACTTCTCTCTGCGCTTGCTGTGGTTATCGGAAGGGTCAATAATATTCTCAATTCAATAGAAATGTTTGGAAATGAGCCACATGTTGTTTCTATTAAATTAAGACATTCTATAGAAGTCATTTGTTTGTTCAAAATTCTACAAAAAATTTTTAATTCGTCAAAAAGTTCAATACCATTTATATCATTATTTTCACCATCTTTTAATAAAATTTCTAAATCCATACAATGTTTTCTTAACGTTTCTTCGTCAAATGTTTTTAAATTTTCAATATTATATAAAAATCCAAAATATTCTGAATGATGAGATAGTTGTTCAAAACGTTCATTAATTGATACGATTGCTTGATCTATTACGGCTAAAAAATAATCATCGTAAAATGTTTGCTCAGCTGAATTTAGACGTGCATCTTTGCTTTCATAATTGAACTGCCTAACTTTTTTTTTAATTCTAGATTGTTTAAAAACTGCTTGAATATCAAGGCCTTCACATAAATTTTGCGCAATTTTTTTTGACGACTCAAACCCTTCATTTCTAAAATTATAAAAAAAATCTTTAAGACCACT